CAGAGAGGTCAGAGCGCCACCCTAACCCACCTGGGGGCCGCCCTTCCAGGCCTCAGTTTCCCCATCTCTGGAAACGGGTGACACCCTTCCACCTGCCTTGCCCTCCTGGGCCCCTTGCTGCCCAGGCCCCTCACCAGATGTTGCTCTCCCGGCTCTGGTCCACCACCATGAAGGTCCCATGCAGCTCCCCAAGGAGCTCGGGCGCCGCCCAGCGCAGAGGGATCCACAGGCGCTCTGGGGTCAAGTAGTAGTCCTCCTGGGGGGTCGGCCGGGCAGGGTCAGGCTGGTTGGGACACCCTCACCACCCCCAGCCCTGAGTGACCACAGCCCTCACCTTGTAGTTGCTGTGAGCCAGCCCATAGTCTCCAATGCGCACTGTCAGGTCGGAGGTCAGCAGACAGTTGCGCAGGGCCAGGTCGCTTGGGTGCGGGGTGAGGGGAGCCATGTGAGGAGGGGGCAGCATGGGGCAGACCACCCCCAGGCCTAGATTCCGCCCCTTTACAAGCTCCGCCCCTTTCCACCTTATCTTGACTCCTCCCCTCTCCTGACTCCTCCCTCTCTTCCCCAGACCCCTCCACGGTTTTCTGCTTTTGTGTTGGCGATTCTGGCTTTCTCCACTCCTTAAGCCCCTCCCCTGTGACCTCACCTCCCTCTCCGTAGCCTGGCCTCCTTCCTCTAAGTAGTCCCCCCCACACACACACACTCCTCCCCAGCTGCCACCTGTGCACGTAGTTGTGGGAGTGGAGATGCGCCAGCCCCCGGGCTATCTCCAGGCCCATCCTCTGCAGTGTCCGCAGGTCTCGAGGGGGCAGCTCAGGGGACAGGCCCTCGGGGGGCCGCTGGGCCCGGAGGTAACGCTTCAGGTCCCCCTGGGAGAGAGGGCAGGGAGGGCTCAGTATCACAAGCCCCTCCCAGACATCCACACATCCAGCCAACCCGAGGCAAAGATGGGGGCAGCTTGTGCACTCTGAGCAGCCCCTCTGAGCTTCAGTTTCCCCTGCTGCTTACAGGCGGGTAATAAGAGAACCGACCTCGCACGCTAGTTCAGTGCACCCCGCACCAGTAGAGTGAGTGCTCGCCTACAGTAAGCACTCAAGAACTGTTAGCGCTTATCACACAGGTGTCGCTGTGATGATGATAACGTTATTGCCAAAGATTCCTAGGACCCTACGCATCCCCCAGCCCCAACCCGTCCAGCTCCCCACTTCACTCTCCCCCACAGTCCCTCACCAGTTGACAGAACTCCATAATCAGCAGAAAAGGCAGTGTCTCCACACAGACGCCCAGGCACTGGAGGACGTTGGGGTGCTGCAGGCTCCTAGGGGCGGGAGGTGGGGGGTGGTGGCTGG